ATCGAAATAGCAAAACTTGTTACATTAAAGAACAATGTGGTGGATATGGTTGCATTCAGCGATTAGATATTCTGAAATTTGTCACACATTTTAGGATGTTTTAAAGTTTCACAAGCACAATCTGAAGGCCTATGTACAGTACAGTATCTGTTGATAGTGCAAAACATTCGAAGAGTAATATTTTTTTATCCAAATGGAAATATTGTCAGTGTCAGCAGTTGCCTATCACGCAATATCTAAACATCAAAATTAATTCATGAGTGTCTGTAAAACCATGTCTTAAATATTTCAGAATATCTATAAAGAGATGGGACCTTGAATTGATTTAGCTTTACTCAAATGTGAATCGGAGACGAAAACGAAAATGTCAGAAGAATAGTGACTTTCTGGAATATCGGACAGAGTGAAATATAAGTTTATTTCCTAACTATGAGAACATTATTTGTTTTGATTTTTTGTCAAAGTATAATTTTTTTACTTGTAAGGTTGGGTTTGGGGTGGGGTGGGGGTACATTGGTACACTTTAGGAGTAATAACATAGTTCTGTCATTTTAATTATTATTCACTGGAAATGATAGCAAGGTATGTTTTAAGAATCTTGCCTCCTCCAGGAAACGTGGAAAGGTAATAAAATAGATAATACTCCAATCAATTATTAATAATTACTTAACTGTCTCAATGATCAGATTCATGTGAAGTTAAGGCAGAACTAGGCAAAAAAACACTATATACATATCATGGCTGAACAAACACTTGGTACTTAGATAGCTAGTTTGTTTTAAGTTATATTTGGTCTTTAAATAATATGTTTATTCAGAGAGTGACTCATAATAAAGTTATTTCAACATCCAGAGAATTTGAAAGAAAAACAAAGGCTACATTTTGGTCACACCCAGGCATTATTCAGTCATGGAACCAAGTAACTTACAGAATTCTAAGTTGACTGTTCATGTAACTGGAATGGATATTGAAACATGACATTCAACCCCGATTTCATGTAATACTTCTTAGAATTCATCAGCTTGTGAGGAGGTTACCAATATTTGAAGACTGAGCCAAAGTAGTGTTTTTTAAGATGTTGTTTTTGGACAAATTGTTCAAGGTTTGTTGGTGCTTATTTGGAAAATAGGCTTAAATTCATATTAAAATGCACACTGGTTTAATTGCAGGAGGTGAAAGCTTCAAGACATTTTCATGTATGTTTTCCTAAACTTTTGTTATGACTTTTACCAAATTTTTAAGCAACTATAATATAGTTTGATGACACTAGTAAGTATCTCAGGAAAGGAAATAGATCAGAATTAGTGTTATTTCCCTAAGGGATATGGTCTCAGATCTAATAAAACAAAGATTATCATTGTCTAAGAAGCAATAATGTCAATATGTAATTTTATTGACAAATAGCTTTAAACTTTGAATATATTCTTTGCCTCTTGTTTACAATAGTAGTTAGCAGTTAAATATCTCTAAAGAAAAAGCAGTATATTTGTATGTTGTGTAACATTCTGTTTCAATGCTAGTTAATTGTACGGATAACTGTGGATCCTCTGTTCAAAGATTTTGCATCACACGTTTCCTATTTATGGAAGATGTGTCAGTGTACAGGTGCAGACTGTATCTTGGATTCTTTGTGTTTATGGTGGTGTGACATACCTGTAGATAAATGCTGGCAGTTCCTGAAGTCCATTATAGTGGAGGTTTGAAGATTAGGATTCCATAACTAAGTACACATAGAAAAATAAATTGGAAAGGATTATTTAAAAAATGGATTTCCTTATATTCAGTGTCATTTTAGGATGGTGTACAGATTTGGAAGAGAGAAATTTTACTGAGAATAGCTGCAGATTATCTGCTGAATATTTGCTTCTTGGTATGTCCAGATACATCCATGGAAACATACTGTGTTAACAGGTCCAGTAACGTTTTCCAGATAATATATATACAGACAAACAAGGTGGACGAAGTAGTAGACCGGGATACTGCTTTCCTGCGTTGTCCCTTGAAAGGTAGAAACCTAAGTTTTCTCAAACTTAAAGCTGAACAACGGATAAATAAATAAAGGTGGCACGCGCAGTTTTGACAATTTATTTTATAGATACCGGAACGATCTGTAACTTGAACATGTGGTTGTGTTCACGGTTTTTATAATATTACGATGGGAATTTTTGAGAAAAAAACAACAAACATAATTCAGTTACCTTTCCCCTGCTAATATGTTAGACGAACGTGAATTGCCGGATCGATTATTTGGTAGAAAATACGCTTCCCAGTCTGAGACGATTTTTCATCGGGCATGTAGATCTAAGTACTTTTTCACTCGCCAATTATACAACCTGTCAACTAAAATATATTGAAAATAAAATACGTATAACTTTCCTTTTAAAATATCATTCACAAACGACGGATACCAAAGTACAACAAGCATAATTCATCAACAACATTCGCAATCACGTACATTTCGCCGGCGGTGACGCCATTGTGATTAGTCCGTGGTTGTCCCCCCTAACGTTAAAAACGAAGTGGGCGGGGCTTATCGGCCGGGACTGGATCGGTCTATTAAAGGCTGGGATAGGTATCCGCTTCGTGGGTTCAAGACAAGTCTGTCAGGGCACTTCATAGTGACTGTATCATCAAAAGTCTCCGGTAAACAAACAGTAGTCCGCCATTGCAAATGCTACCCACAATGCAATAGTGTAAAAAAAACGGACAACACGGACATCAATTAACCAGGCGAGTCCAAACCCATAGAATCTGGGTAAAGTGACGCTAGCTACTTGACCAAACATCACTGCTGATACCACACGCAGAAACTGTGCATAAATAGACCAGCTTGATATTCAGGAATATTGTGCAACGCTTCACTGAGTCTTGTTACTGTATACAGACTACTCGCAGCAGCTTTGTGGTGTATCGCTGGGTGTAATCATGGTCTGTTTCGTCAACCTCAGCACCCTTCCTTTCACATCATCGTCAAGTTTCTCGACAAATATGTCAAACCGGGTGGTTGTAGAGCTGATATCTTTGTCGAAGGGTAGATTCATTGAATCGAATCATTCATCAAAGTTGAAGATCGGATTGTAGATGACGGAGGAATCTTAAAAATCCGGGATCATCAATCACCGCCGTAATGTAGAGGCCTGCGCTACTGACATAACTACTACCTCTGTACAACAAGCCCGAAACAATAACCAGGTTCTGTACAGGAGGATTCCTTTGTTGCACATGACGACCAATCATGTCCCAGATATGCTCCAAAGGGTTAAGATCGGGGCTCATTCAAGGATGAGATATGTCATGGGGTGCTTAACTAAGTTCCTTCTGTAAAGTTGGTGAAGGTAGAGTCCGGAGACTAGGAGCAGCACTTGACAAAGTCTGTAGCCAAGCACTTTGTGTGAAGAGGCTTGTGAGCTTGAGATGAAATAGCCAGCATAAGCCTCCAGAATATAACTCTCAAACAGTAAGAAAAGGTATGACTGGAAACATCAAGCTAAACTGGGCAACATGACAAATCTTAAATATATTCTCTTCCACCAGAATAGAAATTTATGTGTCAGATTCTTTTGTCATAAGCCTTTGATAATCACCTCATCTGCTGGAGCTGTGTTCACCTTGTGACCCTTCGCAGCTTTGAGTTGACCCCTGGCATACAGAAATGACAGAACCACTTTTAGGTTCATATTCCACTGCAGGTTGACTAAGATTGATACCATGGAGTTCAGTGCAGATGCCATACATTCCCTCCTCTGCATAACAAAAAAACAAGTTCCACTTCATGTCATGAAGACACCTTCACATCTCTGCTGCACTCCTAGACAAGCCTTTGTTAGTTAGGGCTTTTTAAGATGTGCTACAGATGCAGACCAAACAACTCTGCAGGCTGATGATGTCAGTGTAAGTGAGGTTCCACCATTCTAGCAACTGGACGGGATTTCTGGGCCACTTTGTACCAGCTCCAAATCCCAGTTGGCCAATAAGGCGTGACTATAATCAATCAAAGAGTAGTCTTTTTTCAGCTCTTTTGCAGAACTCATGGAAGCATCATAGGTGGAGGCTGGTATGAATGTGGAACTTCCCAACTGTTGGTTGATCCACAACTGGAGAGATAAATACTGGAAGTCGTTTGTCGAACACTGTGGTGGTAATATTTTCAGGGTTTCTCCACGGTTTATTTGTCACAATAAAAAGCATACTTGTGCACAGCTAATGGTATGTGATGAGGGTGATGCTTCATCTAAAGATGTACCAATCAGATGGTATATTCAAGCTGCCAGATTGAGGGCAGTTGGGGGAGAGTTGATCCCTATTTGTTTGTACACCACTGCAGCGTCATCTGTCATCATACAAGGGAAACTGAGAGAATGTTGCACATTGCTGAAAGACCCAAATGACTGCTACAAACTCCAATCTATTGTATGTACCAGTGTTGTACTTGAGTTTCAAGATGATAAAGCATCCACAAACAGATTATTGGTCGGATCACCGTCTGTAAAAGAGACTCCATCTAAAATGTACAATGGGAAATTCACATGAGGGGCCATGACAACCAGGTTTGATGCAACTACCAGCACGTGGCCAAACTACCAATCATGTAAACATGAAAACCCACATGGATAAAACATAACTGAGACTTAAATGAATACACATGTGTACAAACAACAAATAGTCAATACAAAACATTAACCTTTGTAAAAAGGGATCACATCAAGGATTCAGGAAAAAATGTAGCACTGACCACAAACCAGGCTTAGCAAGATGTAGGCAGATGAAGTGGGGTAGTGTTTGGGCACTACTCCATTTTTTGGATTCCAGAACAAGCGTTCCAGCTAATAAAATTGCAACAACACTGGCAATACAAGGAATAACTACACTTATCCAAATTGAAAACATATAGGGTTTATCTACCAAATATCCACGAGGATAGTAGCAGTCACTGTGCAGTTTGTAATGTCCATTATGCTTTGCTACCTGTTGTACACTAGATATATCCTTGTGAGTCTTACCCTAGGTTATGTATAGCTTCCTGGTCAATCAGGCTGGGGCCGCTGTTGTTCAAGTCATAAGGCAGGTACATATATGCATCTCCATTGTCCTCACAACCAGGCAACGGCAGCACAGTGTCATGGTGACCCTGCAAGGCAAGTTCAAATGAATATTAAAAACCAAAAGTGAGCAAATGTTGGTTTACTTTACCATCAGCAATATTCAAGCAGCATATGGTGATGGACCCAAGATTTGAATGTTGGCCAGGTAAAACAGAGATTGATTGTGAGAGTTCTTGGGGCAAGGTGACATTTCATGACTGACTGACTGACTGAGTTTGGTTTTACGCGCTTTTAGCAATATTCCAGCAACATCTCGGCGGGGAACACCAGAAATAGGCTTGAAACATTGTACCCATGTGGGGATTCGAACCCGGGTCTTTGGCGTGACGAGCCAACGCTTTAACCACTAGGCTACCCCACCGCCCCGACATTTCATGAGCCTGGTTATACACCACAATTCTCTCGCACAAAGCATGGGGTACAAGGGATATATTCTGCTCCGAAATCCCCATAGTGTAAATTTGAAAATTTTATAATAAATTGTAACATTCCACCGGTATCCCCCCTAAATTTTTTACAATTAATAAAAGATACATACATATATTCAGGTAATATGATATGACTAGAAGCCATAAAATAAGTTTAAAAATGACATTGTGCATACAGACATTGGATTATCAGGCTCAGAGTTAGGGTTAGGGTTAAGGGAGGATACAGACGGAAGTCTTTCCCAATAAATTATATATCAATATACTTATTCTATCTCACACTTTCCACCTCTCCCTTCTGTATCAATCCTGAGTGGAAAGATGCTTGGAATCCTTAGAATGTTTCCAGTTGCAAAACCTCTCACTGAAAAGCACCCAGCAGATATCACCACCTTTGTCAATATCACAGCTCTGACTGCCCATACAGTATGTGCAACTTGCCCCTCTGGTTGTGTGACCTCATGAGTCATGAGCCAAGGCTGGTAATTACCGTAGAGGGGCAGGTAGAGTTTAGTATGTAAAAAAGGATAGGCACATAAACATGCAAGCTAATTTCAAATCTTCAGTTCATTTAAACTTCATCTATCATACACTTTGCATTTATGCCAATGCAGAACAAGAGAGATAGTTCTATAGATGTACAACTTTTTTATTACAACATATTCGACGTTTTGGTGTAGATGCTAGCACCATTATCAAGCAAGCGATGCACAGTACTGTTGGCAAAGGCTTTATATATTAGTACACTTACGAATGTACAGTAATGTATAGGATGATAATGCTAATGGATGTTTGCACAATAGACAAGGATGATGTACAAAGTGTCATGGATGTTTACACAATAAAGCATAAACAAGGGAGAGATTATTGAGGTAGCCTGTAATGTGATGGACAATGAGAATAATGAGAGATAGCATCAAGATTGCTTGTGGTGAGTTGATGGTGGGTAGTAGGGATGTAATATCATTGGTCTCTGTTGATGGCTTGTTGGAGTCTCTTGATGTGAATGGTTTCTAGTAGTTTCTTGATCTTCTAGTGGACCTGATTGCTGGTTTCATGCGGCGGTCTGGCTGGGCTTGGATGTGGTCAGAGATGGCGGATTTAGAGTGTTTGTTTTTTACCCAGGTTTGGTGTTCCTTACTTGTTACAGTAAAGAGCCTTGAAGTTTCAATGATATATGAGTGACCAATGTCACTTTGTATATGGTAAACTGCACCTGTAGGGTCACCTGTAGGTGTTGGGGCTGGTCGGCCATTGGATTGGAGATTGTCCTGTTGGTTTTTGTCTCTCTGGCCCACTTGCTGTTGACTTGCTGTTTGAGGAGTGCATTGTTTTGGAGACAAGCTGTACCTATCTAAAGCAGGCTGTTTGTTGATGTGGGGACTTATCTTTTGGGTTGAAGGTGGTTTTGACGATGCTGTTTAAACAGAAGGGTAGTTTGAGGTGCAGGTTTTGGAGTTCTGCTTGTAGTTGTTCAGGTACTGAGTAGATGGTTTTGGAGCCATTATACCTCTCTTGATTGGTGGGGGATAGTTTGATAAATGGTGATGTTACTCGTTGTTGTGTGGGGGTTTACGGTACACACTGGTCTACAATATTGTTGTTGTCTTTTTTCTTGACTCTGACATCAGGAAATTTAGTTGGTTGTCTGAGTCTTTCTCCAGAGTGAACTGGGCGAGGATACTTGGTGTTGAGATGGTTGAGGAAGTTCTCGATACTTGTGATGTAGACACTTACAACAGAGGCATGAACAGTGTCCTCCCAGCACATCGGAGTTTTCCAATCGTCACGGTAACATAGTAAAGCATGAACCAGACACAAATACAGATCCTCCACATCTGGGCCCAGGATCATCAACAAAGGATGGATAGTAAGCAATCTATTCAGTTGTCCAGGTTTTTGATTCATGGAACCAAATTCCCATCTGAGACCAAGATAAACATTCCCTTGTCAAGCCGTCTCAAACTTTCTATTCACATCCAAAAATGTAATTTTTATGATAAAATTGATATTTTATACTTATCCTGACTCATGCTTTATTGCTTATCTCCCTTCTCCTTTTGATGTTTATTTGGAAAGTTGAATCCCTTAGTTCCCTGAAGAATCGTAAAATCACTCACCCAACAAGTTGCCTCCCTTTTCCCACCAAAGCTGTTCCATGTGACTGGAGCCCGACTCTCATCACTCTCTCCTGATAAAGCCTTACACTGGGTCTTACAGTGAAGCCTGTAGTGCTGAGAGGGGACGGTTGGGAGGGCTTTATATCATGAGTCAGATTAAGTATAAAATATCAATTTAAGAAATACAGTTCGCTCTACCACCATGTATAGTAATATAAAGCACACTTTCGCCCTGAACTATTATAGTTAAAGTACGAGGACGTCACTGCAGTGCTCTGGCGACAGAGTTACGTAACCTGTCTGTGGTTTCGTTAGTTGGCGGGCGAGAGTGAAGCAGGCGACTTTTTGGCAACTTTTAATCGCTCGGTATTAATTAACCACAAGTCTTTTAAGAATGAATTTGGTGTTCCGCATATGTCTAACCATAAATCTTTCATATGTAATAGTTAAAAGAGTACAAAAAAACAAAGTTTATTTGTTCTTTAAAACAAGGGCGTTACCATAACTGAGTCTATATCACTCATGCACTGATTTATCTTGTAAGACAGGGGAACATGGACTCTCCGCCGATGGCAACGTGTCTGCTACCTTAGCATCAATGAGCCTGCGTGATAGGGGTGAGTTTCTCATATTCTAGCTGGAATCATGAGTTGTTGTGCTACCACAAGTGGGTTAAACTGATGGATCATCTTCTGTAGCGATGACTTGAAGATGGTGCTTGGCAAACACAGTGTCTGATTTCTGAAAGCAGCCTCCACTGATGGAAGATAAAGAGCGATTCCCATGTAGGGCGAATGTCGAGGCTAATGCTCTAACTTTGTGTGGGTTGGAGGTTCCATGAGGGCCCAGCCCTGCTGCTTTGTAAGCTTGTAGGATGACAGCTCTGATCCAATACGAGATAGTAGTTCGGGAGACTTCAATAGTCGTGGCGGTTGATAGCAGTATAAGGAGACGTTTGAACTCCCTCCTTTTTGTAGCAATCCGTTGTTAGTATATTTTTAAAGCTCTGACTCGGCATAATGACGAGTCTTCTGTGTCATGTTGTCCGAGGACTGAAGACAATGACGTGACATGGAATTGATGATCTGGTTGGCCAGGTAGTTGATTCTTAGCTGTAAAAACCCATCTTAGTCCCAGACGGACTGCAGCATGCTCTCTGGAGTTGAACTTAGTTCGCCCATAGTCGAGGGCGTGTATTTCTGACATCCTAGCCGCTGTAGCTAAGGCAAGGAGGAATAATGTCTTCTGAGTTAGCAATTCCAAAGTTATGTCTATTAGTGGTCCATAGTCGTCGCTGGTAAGATGTTGCAGCACTATGTTGAGATTCCATGCTGGAGCTCTAACCTTTTGCAGCTGATCCTCTAGTTTAAATGATCTCAGTAGAGCAACGAGTTCGGGTACTTTAGTGGGTGTAACTCCTGTGTTCATGGTGATAATGGAGCTCATTGCAGCCAAGTATGTTGTGAGTGTAGATCCCTTCAAGTGTCTAGTAGCTCTCAAATGGCATAAGTATTCTGCTACTTGAGGATTGCGGGTAGTGAACAGATCAAAACTTTTCCATTTATCATCGTAGAGATTTCAAATTGAACATCTTAAAGTATCCTCCAGATGCAGCATTCACTCTGTGGGAGATGGTCGGACCAGTCTGGATAAGGCGTCTGCTAGGACGTTCTTTGTTCCTGGAATGTGATAAGCTTTCATCCATAAGTTGGGATTGTCCGCTAGGTTGAAGAGTTGGAACATCAGTTGCAGTAGTGGCGCTGATCTCGTTGACCTTGAAGATTTATGTAGAAGCTACTGTTGAGCTGTCCACATGAATCATAAGTATTTGATTTCTCGATGAGAACTGCCTTGAATTCCAGTTGATTTATGTTTATGGTCTTTTAGTGACCAAACTCCTGATGCAACCTCTTCACTGAAGTGTGCTCTCCATGCATCTACGAAGAGATGTAGATTGTAGGACGGCTCTTGTAAATACATTCCATTGCAGATGTTCGACTTGTTTGTCCACCAAAGAAGATATTCCTTCAGATTCTGAGAGGTAGATATCTTCTGTAAACTGTCTAAGTGAGGTTGAAGGAAGCAGTGTAACTGCATGCAACCTTCCTCTGTCTTGTGCTGACCTAAGTCTAGGTAAGAAGCACTGCAAATTCCCTTCTGATGTAGAAAGGAGACTATGGGCTTTGTCACACGTGTAAATAGCCACGAGGCGAGGAAATTCCAAAGGGGAGGACCCTCCACTGATAATGCTGCCCTTGATACAGGAATCGTAGATACTTTCTTGAGGTCGGATGTATGGGGATGTGCAGATAGACATCTGGAAGATCTATGCTTGTTAGGTAGTCGTTGGGTCTGATTAGATGTCACAATTGTGGTAAGTGCACCATCTTGAACTTGTCTGGTTTTCGTTGATAGTCTAGGTAGATCACCATACTAGGTCATTGGCGAGAGAATCGGGAGGTTCCTGAAGAACGACCT